ATAGGAATTAGCCCAGTGTGGTGGCGCATGCCTGTAGTCCCAGCTACTTGGGAGGCTGAGGCAGAAGAATCACTTTAACCTGAGAGGTGGAAGTTGCAGTGAGCTGAGATTGCACCACGGCACTCCAGCCTGGTGACAGAGCAAGACCCTGTCTCAAAAAAACAAAACAACTGTGGTTTTTACACAGATGACAGAACAAGCAAGTCCTGGCTATGGCAAAGATACACCTAAGCCAGTGTTGGTAGATTGAGAAAAACACATATTACTTGACTTGATTCCAAAGCCCCTGCAACCTGGTTACCTTACACCAACCCTCTGCTCCAGTCTAAAGGTCTACACGTGACCCTAAGTTCTCTTCGCTCTCCTCCCAGCTGTAGCCTGATGCCCACTAAAGATGCGGCCTGTGCCCCATGTGCCCACTCCTCCTGGTCCATTCCAGCGATGTGATGTCTATGCTCCATTCTGATTGTCACTCCAGCTGGACTGTATTTACCCAGTCCACCCTCACGGTCAGGGCCTTGACCTTCTATCTTGGCCTTGCCAAATCTTTCCTTTAGGGAGCTGGATGCTCTTCTTCCCCAGAAGACATTGCCTGGGGACTTGCCTACATCTAAACAAACCTTCCCATCATTCCCAGAACAAAGGACTGTTTCCTACCCAGGCATGCTCTTTCGACTGCTTCAGACTCTGGCCGTACCAGCTCTACTCACCATATAAGAAAACTCTTGGGGTATGGAGGAAGATGCACACCAGGAACTGTCTTGGCCCCAACTGGCCAGTTCCCAGAAACTCTGGGGCAGGTGGCTGGCCACTTTCTTTACAGAGCTTCTAATGCCTCACCAGCCATAGTTGTTGGTGCTCAGGTAAATCAGGGCGCTGTCTTCAGTTTAGACTTCTTAAAGACCCCATTTCATATTACATTACCCTCACCCTACAACCCCTGCTTTCCCATTCTGTTTCCTTTCTCTACATAGTGTCAATCAGCATTTCGATATACAATATATATCAAAATATATCGCTTACTTCAGGAGTAAGCTCCTTGAGGTTTCAGTCTGCTTTGCTCGAGCAGTGTCTGGTAGGTGCTCAATGACTGCCTGCTGAATGCATGACTGGAATGACCATGACCTTGGACATCAGCACCAGAGTACACATTCTTCTGAGTGTGTCGGAAGGACAAGGAATTCTTGTTCTCTTCTGTCACAGAGCTCAGCTGTCAAAGATTTCCAAACCTCCTCCATCTTAGCCACAGCAATAAATGGTCTACAAGTACATTCTCAGCACTGCACTGAGCACCATGGGAAATACAAACCCTTCAGGCAGCTTATGATCCCAGCTCATCTCTGAGCCACCATCCCCTGGAAAATGAACTGTTCCTCCTGCAAGCCCTCATTATGCCCTCATACCCCCAGCACAGAGCTTCGTGTTCTCCACCTGTCTCCATTCTTCTCAGACATGAGCCTGTCTTACTCATCTTCACATCCCCAGTGCCCAGCACAGTGTGGAGAA